TTTTCACTGTTAAAACAGGATTATAGTAAGCTTCTTGCTGTTAATTCCCCAGATTTCAAAAGAATCCTTTTAATGATTATTTTAAAAGCCTGCACAAGATTTCACCTATTTCACCAGTCTCCCTGTGTTTGGACATTAAATTGTTTCACAATTTTCCATGTTAATCATATTAGTCATGATGAGCTAGGAAGCTGTTTGGCCTGAATTCCACGATCCTAGATTTTTAACCAGCACACGCAAGTCCTATATCACCTTGGAGATATAGGCAGAGAGGACAAGCCAGGGGCTTTGGCCCTTACTTTGGAAACCCAGACCTGCCTCTCCACTCTGGACTGAGACTACTTCAGCCAAGTGGGGGGGTCTCAGGGTCTTTTGGACATAACTCGTCCTGGAGATGTAATACAGAGGGGCTGGCAGCCCGGACCTCCTCTCAAGATTAAAGTGTGCAGCCAACTAAATAAACAATGCTGTAAGGACTAGCCCCATGACAAGGCCTTTCCCCAATTAGAGATTATATCCTTAGGCTAGAAATCTGGATCAACCCAGTCAAAGAATCTGAATATTTTTACTGCTGCTCAAATATGGTGAGAGTCTACCAGAAATGAAGAATGGTGAAAACTGGCAAGTGATCCTCCAGCCTTAGGCTAGAAATCTGGATCAACCCAGTCAAAGAATCTGAATATTTTTACTGCTGTTCAAATATGGTGAGAGTCTACCAGAAATGAAGAATGGTGAAAACTGGCAAGTGATCCTCCAGCACAGTAAAGGAGTTCTTGGCAGAGCTGAGCCTCACCTGAGTGTCCAACAGAAGGCCTGGATGAGTGAGGTAACCCCAAGCCCCATAGCATTGAAATCATTCTCATGGGTGATCAGGGTCACCCTCCTGTTGCAGCAGGGTGGGCCAGGTGGCCGCAGCAGTCTGCCATGCTGGGTGAGTCCCATTAGGAGATCCAAGTGTAAATGTTTAGGCTGGAAGTTAGATGGAGAAGGAGGTTGGATGGAGGGGGAGATGGGGTGATTGCAGAGGGCATGTCCTATAAGATGATTTTCCCAGCAACCCACCTAACCTACCAGCCTTCATTTCTTCAGCAAACATCTCTTGCATGTGCACCAGGCTTGGTTACCAGGAGGACCCAGGGTAATTACAGAGGCAAACCAGGACCAAGGTTTGGTCTCTGGAGTGCCCGGGCCAAGAGGAAACTGTGATGCCCACATCTGCAAAATGGGACTACACCTGCTCCATGGGGTTAAATGGGATGAAGCTCAAAAATCTCTTTGCACAGCACCCAGCACAGAGCAAGGACCCAGGAGATGCTGGCCGCTGTTCTTGGTTTTTTTACTTTTCTCTCCCATAGGAGGTAAAAGAGGGTCCAAGTCAGGTGGCCAAAAGGCATTGGGTTCTGTGAAAGGAGAAGCAGCTGGAGAGTTTGGGGTTTGTTTTTCTTGGAAATATAGAAAAATTTCACTAAGGGAAGAAAGTGGGGTCCTGGCTAATCATGATTTCTCAGCATCTCCCAGTCCCTGCCCCAGTCAAGAGTCTGGTTTAACATCAGCTGCCACCCCGCCCCCTCCACCACCCACCCCACCACCTTCCCCCCATCCCCTTGAATAAATGGTGTTCCATGGTGCTCCCACCCCCGTGACTCACACTCCTCAGATCCATCCGGGCCTGATTGTTCTCCAAGCCTTCTCAGTCCACAGCTCTTGATGGATTTGGTAATTGGGGTAATTACGGTAATTTTACCTTAAAGACAGGCAGCTGCAGATTCCCTATTGGGGAGCCCCCTCCCTGGGCCTCTTGCCAGCCAGTGTTCAGGGACAATGACAAGTGGCTCCCATTTCCCTCCCCCAGAATGCAAAGTGACTGGGTGGGGGTGGGGAGTTCTCAATAGAAGGCATCTCCCCCCCTCTCGGCAGCCCCAGGAGGGGGCAGGGTGGGTTTGCCAGAAATCCTTTTCCTTTCCACCTCCCCAGCCCTGCTTCCAGGGATGTGCAAAGCACAGTGACATTTGCTCCTTCCCCACCCAGGCCTGAAAACCAAGACAGGGGACCCTTCCCCAGCTACTCTGTGGATGAAGTCCCTTACGGATTCCTAAAAGCCCCAATTGCACATATCCTGTGGTCTCCAGTTGTGAGGGGCCGCAGGAATGATGGACCCTTGGAGGTGGCAGTAGAGAGTCACTGCCTATAGCCAGGTAGCAGGCAGCACCTCCCACCCTCTCCCCAAGCCAGAGCCTGGGCTGCCCTGCCCCCAGCGGCAGCCTGAGGAATACCCCCTCATCCCTGTGCCCCTCAGATGCCACAGTGCGAAGGGCTGGGAAGGACTCAGGAGGTGGAGGTCGCTTCTGACTTCAGGTTAGAAGGCTTCTCAGAGAGGACAGACTTCAGTGAAGACCTCAAAGAATACATAAGACCCCTTTGGAGTGTCTGGGGCAGTGAGGGTCCCAAGCCAGACCAGAACGCACCAACTGATCTCTTCTCCCTGCTCTTCCTGTGGCTGGCCCCTTCTCATTTTGGCATCAGTTCCAGTGTCACCTCCTCAGAGAGGTTGTCTACCTCCACATCTGCCCCACCCACATCCCCTCAGCACCCCCCGCCCCATTCCAATTCCTGCTGGTGGCTTTCTATTGCCAGCTCTGGACTCTCTGCCCAAGGTCCAGACACAGGAGGGTACCCGGCCAGCCTGCCTGGAGGACGGGCTAGAGGCGCCAGGGCGTTCACACCCTGGGAGTAGCCCTCCACCGGTTACAGGTGGGAGTTGGGTGCCATCATCACAGAAGGAATCGAGATGACAGTGGTTTGGATTGTAGTAAGAGCAAAGAATTATAGTAGGATGGTAGGAGGAGCAAAGGAATGAAGTGGGTGGATCGAGGCGTCATCATCACAGAAGGAATCGAGATGACAGTGGTTTGGATTGTAGTAGGAGCAAAGAATTATAGTAGGATGGTAGGAGGAGCAAAGGAATGAAGTGGGTGGATCGAGGCGTATTTTGGAGGGAGGTCAAACAGGTTCGTAGATTATGGAGGGTGGGGAGGAATTGGGGAACAGAAGCAGCAACCCTGGCTGAATCCCATGGTACCTCCCCCACTTGGATATTCTGTCCAATTTTCCTACTTCTGTTCTTGACTGTCCTCTCTCACTAGCACCTACCAGGTCCTGATCCTGCTTCAGACAATCATGGTGTGACCGAAAGAGCACTGGATTTGGGATCAGGCATCCAAGCTTCTCACTCTGTGTGACACTGAACCCCTGGTTTAACTCCTCTGAGCCTCAGTTCCCTTATCTGCAAAGTGGAACCATGGCAATATCCACCTCATACGATGGTGGGGCTAGTGCTGGGCTAAATTCTTTCTTCATTGAAACTTGTCTCTTCGAATGGGCCTGCTGGGGTAACCGAGGCCACTTAGAGACTTTTTATCTGCTACAAGCTTCAAATGCCCTACCAAGGAATTCCAGGATGAATGTCACTGTCTCCTTACTAGTTCCTGTTGGTTTAAGAGAAATGCTTTCTTTTTTGGTTCTGAGACTATTTGTATCATGAGAGGAAGAAGGAGAGACAGAGACTTAGGAAGTGACCATCACCAAAACACTTTTAAATCTGGATATTTAAGGCAAAATAGTTCAGACTTATGGCCTAAAATAGTTAAGAGGTTGTATCTTGATACCAGACTAACCTGTATTGGAATTGAATCCTGTCACTTATTAAACATGTGGACAAGGAATGTGAATTTCTGAGCCTTGATTTCCCTCTTCTATAAAAAGGAAGTAGTAATATGTCTCATAGCCTTGTTGTCACCATTAAATAAGCTCGTATGTCACATGCCTGGTACATAGTAACTGCTTAGTGACAGCTGCCATCATCACCATCATCACCCAAACTAAAGCACTGGATATTGTGAAGATGAAACTTGTAAAGCCCTTGGTATATATTAAATGCTCCATAAATTCATTGTTTAATGGATGAATGAATGAATGAATGAGGCATCTCTTGCCCTGAGGAGACAGACTCAGGGCAGTGGAAAGAAAGAAGGGAGAAATCTGGGACCGTAGATGAGAGGGGTGGTTGAGAGGACCCCAGAGACACTGTCCCTGCAGTGCCACCGCCATCAGCAACTGTTGTCATTGTTCCATCCCTCCCTGTTCTGAGCTCTCTTCCTGGACCCTTTGGGTGGCTGCAGGTTCAAGGTGTAGCCGGACCACGTTGGCCTGAGCCTCCTGAGAAGCGCGGCCAGATGCTCTCCTCACCACGCTCCTGTGTTAACTCACTGGAAGGACAACGCCCACCGAGAGCTGGACTGGGCAGAAACAAACTCGAAGGAAGTAGAAGTGACATCTAAGTTGTGCCTTTAATGTTTGAACAATTCAAATATCATGTTACAAAATGACAAGATTGTACAAACCAACATTTTAAAACACGGGAGCTGTGAAGGGAAGTTTTTCCCTGTCCAGTTCTCCCAGGGCTGTTTGCAGCCACGGAGTTTGCTCCCCCTCCTGAGGCTTGACCCCTTCATCTTTCAAGGACTCAGAGAGGGCAAGGGCTTGCCCAATGTCACAGAGCTCTCCTGGCTCCCTTTCCAGTGCTGCTCCCACTACATATCATAGGGACACTTTCAAAGCAATTTTTCCTGGGAAAAAACCTAACTGCTTCTTCACAGACCTTCTATATTTTTTATTCTCCTCAGATCTAAGAAATCATGCACAAAAACCCATGGAGACCCAGGTGCCCCAAGTGGTGTGGTCATACAGTGGTGTAGGAGCCACCTGTCCTGAGGGCTGGAGCGTGGATGGGACTGAGGGCTTTGTGTGCATGATTATGAAGAAGAGGAGACAGCCCAGCCCCAAGTCCTTTTTGGGATCTGAGAGGCATTTCAGAGAGGCCTTGGGGGAAGACCCAGACCCCCCCTTAAATAGCTTTGCTCCCACGCTGGGCATACACATGGGCACAGAGCCTGTAGGGGAGAGGGTGAGGCATCCAGGGCTGCTTGGTAGGGTCCTAGGTCTTAGGTGGGGCTCTGTTTAATGACCCACTCGCCATGGGGGTTGGCGCGGTACAGATCTAAGAGGTAGGCATCTGGATCCAGGCGGTGCTCATCTGAGGGAAGAAAAGGCGAAGGAGGTTGAGGGGGCAGGTGTGGAAGATGCTGTGGCCCTGGCGTCCCCCAGCTGTGTGAGCCTGGCTGCTAGGGCTCACAGCTACCCTCCCTCTGGAACACTGACCTCCAGTGATGGAAGATGCCCTGACAGGGAAGGTAGGCCTCCCCAAGGCAGCCCACAGCATTTGACTGACTGATACAGAGATGCAAACACCAGCCTCACAATGGAACAACTCCGATGCAATGTGCACTCCAGAGCCCCCTGGTGGATCATCCTGGCTCCGCTCCTCCCCCTTCCCTTCCTCATCCACCTTCACCCCCTTCCATTTCCCAGGGAGCACTCCCTCAATGCACTGCATGCTCCTTCCTGAAGCCTTGTCTTAGCCTCTGCTTCCTGGCCAGTGGCTCTCAAAGTGGGGTCCCTGGACCACAGCATTGCAACACCTGAGAACTTCTTAGGCCCATTCTCAGGGCCCCGCCAACTCTGTCTTAACAGCCCTCCAGGGGATTTCCACATGCTGCTAAAGTTGGAGGATCATGGCTTCAGAGGATGCAGCTGGAAACAACTGCCCATCCATGGTTCTCATAAAGCCAGGGACCTCTCAGAGCTGCATGTGCATTTGCAGAATTCCTTAAGGAGTCTATGGTACATGGGCCTGGGAGAAGGTGCCCCTCAGCTAGGGTGTCCCAGAGGCATCAGTTTCACTGGTGGTACTGACAACCTTCATACTAAAAGAAATTCTGCCCTTCTCTCTAAGCCCAAGGTCAGCTCCAGGAAAGACCCCAAACTGCAGGATGGATTCCTATGGTGTGCACAGGTGACCTTTAACCTGACAGCAGGGTTCCACCTGGTTTCAATGGAGACAGAGGCCTGAGGTGGACTCTGGCTTCTGCCAAATGGGCCCAACAAGGCTTCAAGGTCAAGGAGCTCACAGGGCCCTGGGCTCCGGACTCATCTCCCACGGGGAACTTACTGATATTCCCTCCGACTTCATAGAAGAAGATGCTGGCTGACTCCATGGACCTGTTGCTGCAAGACAGAGAGAAAAAAAACGCTGACCTCTTCTGGAGGCAGCAAGACCAACAACTGCTTATGGACCCCAGGCCTGGAAGGGGCGGTCCTCACTGTTTTTTTCAGTCCCAGGTGGGAAAAGAAGTGTAAGGACCCTCCTGGGAAAGCTGGAGCCAATGAAGGGGCAGGGAACAGGCAGCTGGATGGCACTCAGTGAGGACCAGTAGGGATACATCCTGCCACATGGCCACTTCCCGCTGGGCATCAGAATGGGGCTATGAGCACGATGGGATGAGGGGTGGCGGGTGGGGACAGAAGCCTGCTGCAAGGAGCAGATTCCGAGTCAAGATGGATTATGGATATTGTATGATTATGTATGATAATTATAATGATCATATATGGTTACATAATTATTATATAATAATTATGGGTATCCAGTTCTTGCATCTGTCCCTGATTTGCCATGTGGCTCTGGGCCTTAGTTTTCCCATCTGTACAAGAAGGAACTGAACCAGACACTTGCTAAGGACTGACAGTCCAAGAGTCTCTGGCATCAACCCCATGAAGGAGGCTCCTGAGGACTTAGGCTGTTTCTCACATCCTTGGAGTGACGCTACACATCAGCCCCGCTGACTTTCTTTCTGCTCTCTGGCCATGCTATGTTCCTTGCTGCCTCAGGACCTTTGCACATGCAGTTTTCTGTGCCTGGAAGCCTTACCACACTCCCCAGAGTATATCAGGTACCTTGTTTTACATTCACTTTGTTCCCTGTATTTTTTTTTTTTTTTTTTTGAAGATGACCGGTAAGGGGATCTTAACCCTTGACTTGGTGTTGTCAGCACCACACTCTCCCAAGCGAGCCACAGGCCGGCCCTGTTCCCTGTATGTTTTATAAAACTTAATACAGTTTGTAATTTGTTATTTATTTCATAGCTATTTGATTTGTGTCCATCTCTTCTGCAGGGCTGTGAGTTTGTAAGGCCAGGGCCTCTGTCTGTTCTTTTCATTGCTATTCCAGCATTCCACATGGTTCCTGACCCAAAGCAGGCCTTCATTAAATACTTATTAAAATGAATGAATGAGTGAATGGTGGCCATTATCATTATTATTTGGAGGGAAGAAGCTCTCTAAAAAGATTGGAGAACCCATTCCAACGGACCCGGCTGACCCCTCCCTGCACCGGCTCCCTGCTCCCGCCGCTGGGAGGCGCCCCTTACTGTGGGAGGAGGTCGTCTGTGTCCTCACTGCCTTCTTGACCCTTTGAGCCAGGGCTGAGGTGCTCTGTGAACTGCCTCAGGACATGGGCCACTTTGGTACTGGGGGTCAGAGACACCTTCAGGGGGTCCTTGATAGGCCAAGGAACCTGGATCTTTGCTATTTGGGGGGTCTGCAGAGAGAGAGAAAATCCATATACACAGGCACCACATGCATGCCTGGAGATCAAATATGTACGCATAACACGCATGCATGTGCTCTTAGATATCCACACTAAAAATAACATGATGCACACACACACAAAGGCGTACACAACAGCTGCTTGGGCACAGATCACATACATACACAAACACAGCCATGGAAACATGCAGCACACACGTGCGCACACATGCAACAGGAGAGCAGGCACCGCACCCACAAACGCGTGCACGTGGGTTTATATGAAGACTCATTGCCCACACATCTGTGCAGCGCAGACCCCGCACTGGTCAGTCCCTCCCTTCTGCACTTGAAGGCCCTTCCCTTCTCCTACCCCCTCCCCACCCCAATCCCCTGACACCCCACAAAGCAACCCCCACTTTCCCAATCTTCGGCCAGGAACACAAGGGATGGCCTAAAACTGCAGCTGAGGAGATGGCTTCTAGAAGTTCCCTCACCACACAGCTTCTCCTTCCTCAGCTCCCGCCTCCTCGCTTGCTGCAATGGGGCCAGGGCGCCCCCTGGTGTCCCCAGCCGGCCGCTCCTGGCAGCCTGGTGGCGAGTACCTAGAGGATGGGGACGTGCCTGGCCCCAGGTGTCCTCCCACCGCCTCTGGCCCTTTCTCTCTCCGCCCGGGGTTGGGGGGACACTCACTGCCTCGGGGCCATCCCCCGCTTTGTCCCTGTCTGTGTGTATCCTCCGCAGCCAAGTCTTGAGGCCCGCGTCGCAGAGCTGGGGGCGCCGGCTGCTGCTGTCATTCAGTTTTCGCACCTGGGCGACTAAGAAAGAGGCAACCTGACCAGAAAGAATCAAGTCTTAGCAGGGGCATGGGGCTGCTGGGGGTGAGAAGCAGAGCCCCCTCCTGTGGCCTCTTCTTCCCTGTCCCAGCACTCCACACGGCTTGGAAATTTGCTAACTTGGAACTGAGCACTAGTCTGGTGGGACGAGGGCCACTTAGCCCCTAAGAAAGACCTTGGAGTAGGGGACTCTGAGAGTAGAGTAGTGCCTACCCTGGGGCTTAGTGGACAGCAGCCTCCCAGGCAGAGGCTGGAGGGTCCTGCACTTGCTGTTGGACAGCTTTTCACCGGAACACTCAGGCAGGGGTGTCCCCGAGAACACATCTGAGTGGGTTCCTGCTCTGAGAACCCCCAGCCACTCCTACAGAGACCTCCAGATCAACCCCCGCTCCTCTGGAGAGTCAGATCCCAGCAGACAGTCAGAGAATCCAGATGCTGCGGACCCTGATAATGACCAGCCTGTTTCCTGGGGGCTGACAGTTCTGGGTTGGACTTTGGGCTCTTCTCTCTGCTACATGTCTGAGCCTGAACAAGATGATGTGTGCGGGAAAGGGAGAGGTGGATGTGGAAGTCTCCCATTTTACTTTATCTACATGTGTGTTGTCCGAAACGTTTGTAACAAGAAGACATTTAAGACTTTCTTGAATTTTTAAAATTCCCCACAATAAAAAGTAGTATAATCCAATGTGTTTTAGTGGCAACATTACCTGAGAGGGCTGAGTGCAGAGAAGAAAGGAATTATGGGGGTGTAAAGGGCGCATTGGGGAGGAGTAGGGGACTTTCAACACAGGAGCTGACTCCTGAACTAGGTCTTGAAGAATGAGTAGAGGGCACCAGGCTTCTGCCCTTTCAAGCAAAGGGAAGGGCATTCCAGGCAGAGTGAATTGCATAAGTGAAAACTCAGACATGTGAAGTACAGGACAAGCTTGGAGAGCCAGCTGGTACTTGGTGTGTTTAGAGCACAGAAGACTGTCTGGGCAGGGCTGGAGAGAAACTGAACAGTTAGAGCAAGCTTCACTTGCAGTTTCTGGAATAATAAATCTAACCTAATGATTTTATTGATGGAGGGAGGGGTAGGAAGAAGGAAGGAAGGAAGGATGGACAGGTGGATGAATGCATAGATTGGTGGGTGGATGGATGGATGGATGGATGGATGGATGGATGGATGGATGGATGGATGGATGGATGGATGGATGGATGGATGGATGGATGGATGGATGGATGGATGGATGGATGGATGGATGGATGGATGGATGGATGGATGGATGGATGGATGGATGGATGGATGGATGGATGGATGGATGGATGGATGGATGGATGGATGGATGGATGGATGGATGGATGGATGGATGGATGGATGGATGGATGGATGGATGGATGGATGGATGGATGGATGGATGGATGGATGGATGGATGGATGGATGGATGGATGGATGGATGGATGGATGGATGGATGGATGGATGGATGGATGGATGGATGGATGGATGGATGGATGGATGGATGGATGGATGGATGGATGGATGGATGGATGGATGGATGGATGGATGGATGGATGGATGGATGGATGGATGGATGGATGGATGGATGGATGGATGGATGGATGGATGGATGGATGGATGGATGGATGGATGGATGGATGGATGGATGGATGGATGGATGGATGGATGCATGGATGCATGGATGCATGGGTGGATGGATGGATGGGTGTATGGATGGATGGATGGGTGTATGGATGGATGGATGGGTGGGTGGGTGGGTAGGTGGATGCATGGATTGGTGGGTAGGTGGATGAGAGGGTTGACAGATGGGAGACTAAGTGGAAGGATGACTGGACAGGTGGATGTAAGAGGCTACATGTTTCTAAGCGAGGAAGTGGCCTGATCAGCCATGGCAGGTGGTGCTGCCTCGTGTTCATGGAGCCTCCAGTGCTGGAGGGGTCTTCTCAGTACTCCTTTTCCACCCTCACCTTCAGCATGCTGTGCATGCTGACACCACAGAGGGGGTCTCTCTCCCTGCTCTTGCCCCTCCCCTCAGGACAGAGCTCATGGTGGGGGCAGGGGATATCTCTGTTATCTGTTTCTTGCCTCTGTCTTAGGCGGGCCCTGTGTTCCTGAGCCTCAGGGCTGGGGCTTTGTGGGATCTCAGGGAACACCCATCATCTGGAGGAGACCACATGGCTGTGGGTTAACTGAGAGGTGTGGCAGTGGAGACAGAAAGTGTAGACACGTCTTCTTGGACATTAAGGCAGGGGCAGGAAGAAAACACTGGCCTATACATAGGGTCCAACAAAGGTCCCAGAAGAGACACAACTTGGGATTTGGAAGGACAGTACCCATGATCCTGAATGACAGGGGCAGCAGGGCAGCTGCAGCAGGAGGAGGGCAGGGTCCTGTCCATGCCCCCGGGGGGAGACCCGCCCCTCCACTCACTGTTGGCCCGGCAGCACTCACGGTCCAGAGCAGGTCCTGGTAGTGCACCATCATTTGCACCACCTCAGCTGCCCCCTCTGCCAGCTGCTTCTCCTTGTCCTTGGGCAGTTTGGGGGGCCGCCCTTGATGCAGAAAGAGATTGGGGGCCATCACCGTGGAAACGCTCCACAGGGTCATCTTGTTGTGCTGCTCCCTGGCCACCACCTTCCTGAGGAACTCCAGGAGTGCCTAGGGAAGGACACAGAACCTCCTCAAATCTCAGCATGTCCCTGGTGTCTCTCCACCCTCCCCAGAACATCCGATGCATGACGTGAGGGCACGAGAAAGGAACCAGGAGCTGGAAGGGCAGGAATAGGGGTCTCAGTTCCAGCCCTGCCATCAGTCCGCTCCATGACCACTCTGTGTCTCAGTTTCCTGCTCTGCAAAATGGAACCAAAACTCTTCCATTCTCTGCTCCCTCAGAGACTGAAACATCTGGGTCAGTCTTCAACTTTCAGGTAGAAAGGAGTCACAGGTCTGGAAAATGAGTCTTTTCCCAGTGAGCCCTGGGACAGCTCATTCTTTCTGCAATTTGGACCCAAAATGCAAAGGGAAGAATAGGGAAGCAGAGACACTGGGAAGAAAGGCAGGAGAGGATAATCGCTGCCATCTACTAAGCATTCATTCTGTTCCTGGCCCTTTCAATGACACCTCACATGCATTTATCATTTCATTTAATCCTCAGAACTCTGTAAGGTAGATTTTACTACTGGACCCATTTTATAGAGAAGAAAACTAGCTGGGAGAATGTGCCGAGGGTCACGTGTAAGGACAGAGGGAGGGAGAGAGGGTTGGAGGGATGGACAGATGGATGAAAATAAATAAATTAATTCACTCACATACACACACACAAAAAAAACCGGGCGTGGGGGGAAGAAGATATAACAACTACAATTTTTTGAAGTTGTTACAACAAGCAAATGGAAAGGACATTGTTGGGTGGGAGGGGGGAGAGGGAGGAGGGAGGGAGGTTTCGGTGACAGGCCATAATAATCAACTATATTGTATATTGACAAAATAAAAATTTAAAGGAAAAAAAAAAGAAGGAAGGAAGAATAGGTGGAAGGAAGAAAGAAAAAAGAAAGAGGGAGGGGGATGGAGGGGCGGGCATATACTGAGCACCTGAAAAGTATCACATCTACTCCATGATTTCTGCACCATGCTCAGCCAGCGAGCGCACCGGCCATCCCTATATAGGATCCGAACCCGCAGCCTCGGTGCTAACAGCACCGCACTCTCCCGAGTGAGCCACGGGGCCGGCCCACTACTCCATGATTTCTCATGTGTCAACTCTTATAATTCCCAAAACAATCAGACAAGATGCTATCATTAGCCTCAGTTTACTGAAAAGAAAACAGAAACCCAAAGAGGACGATCCCAGGCCTCCTCACGGCATCACCCTAGAGGTACATCTTGAGCTTGACCCAAGGACAGCCGGGAGGACGCAGGGAGCTAAGTCAAGGCTGCTCCCCAGTCCCAACCCTGAGAACCCACTCCCGTGAGACACAGTGGGAATTCTCTAAGGGAGTGTGTTCCAAGCTGGTCCCCCAAAGAACACCAGTGCCACAACAAAAGAGGTCCATGATCCACTGAGTTTGGAAAGTGCTACGTACTCTAATCCTACCTGGAGGTTCACAAAACCTCAGCATATCAAAGGCTTTAGGACATCCTTAGGAAAGAATTATCCTTAACCTTGTTTCTTTAACTCTGCATTTCCTCATCTTATTTGGACCCAGAGCCCTTTGCCCTGTGACACCTGTTACTCCCAGGAAAGGTTTGCATTGGTCATCACTGCACCCCAGCACCTGACATAGTTGTTGAACGAATGAACGAGTGAATGAATGAGCACGTTTGGAACCACTGCTGTGGCTGTGGGCTGAGGTGACAGAGTCAGGCAGCCGGTGCTATCTTTTACCTTCAAGGTGTTTCTGTTGGGTTCCGGGAGGATGAGGATGAGCAGGTGAAGAGCCTGCAGGCGCTGCTTCAGGTCAGGGATGTCTGCAGGAAGAGGGGGCCTCAGTCTCGGTCTGGTCTCTTCTGGGGGAAATCACAGAGCTGGGAAGTCTAGGGACAGCCAGGAACCCCTTTTTCTTAAGGCCTGGAACTGTCTTACAAACTAACGAACTAGCACCTGGAATTAATGTCAGCTCAGACAGAGCTCCGACTAGTGCTGGCCGAGAGGTTCACTCTCAATACTTTGCGAATAAAAAATAAACACACACGTGCATGTGCATGCACGTATGCGCATGTGTACACACACACACATACCCATTTAGGCAGTCTGAAAGCTACAGCCTAGGATCAGAAGAGCAATAAGCCAGCAAATCATCCTTGGTGGGGACGGTGATATCTCAGCTGTCCTGAATGAGAGTTTTAACAAAACCCTGTATATTCTGAGGGTTGAAAAGGAAAAGCTGTCCCACACTTGGGGCCAGGATCTCCAGGGAGAGGAGGTGGATGGCAGTCATAGAATTCAAAGAAAGAGTTCTCTAGAGCCAGACTGACCCATCGGCCGAGCGCTAGCTGGGACCTGGGGAATAGCCACACAGGGCATCAAGAGGCTGTGTGCCCAGGGCTTCATCCCTAGAGTCCCATGAGGCATTTATTCATTCATTCATTCACTCATTCACTTCTCAGCAAATATCCACCAAGTACTTATTAGGTGTCATGCTCCTGTCCAGGAGCCCGGGACACTGCAGTGAAGGAATCAAGCGAGGTCAGAGATGCGTGGAGCTTACATTTCAGGGGAGAAGAAAGACAACAAACAAGCAAAGAAATAACTAAATATCTCCAGACACTGATTGGTCCTATGAAGAAAACAAAACAGAGGAACGATAGGCGTCAGTACATCATTACATAGGCCGAGCAGGCAACGTGGCGCATCAGGCTAGGGAAGGCCTCTTTGAGGCACTGACGTCAAGCTGAGTCTGATGGCAAGAAGGGGACAGATGGGGAGGGGACAGTGTGCTCCAGGCAGAGAGAGCAGCAAGTCAGAGACCCCGGCAAAGGAGAGAGGAAGAGGTTCTCAGAGCAGGAGAGCCTGGCTGGAGGGTGGGCGGAATGGGGACCAGGAGGAGATGGGTCAGAGACAGGCAGGGCTGAGCCACGCAGTCCCCCGGGGCCGATAAGGTGTGAGGTCGGATTCAGGTGTGCTGTGCAGGGTGTGAAGCAGTGCAGAGACATCAGCTGGTTTATGTTTTAAAATGAGGTGGTGAGACATGAAGGCTGGAGGGGACCTCTCAGGGTCCCTGCCCTCTGGCTTGGGAGTGGAAATCAGACTGCCTGAGCCCTGAAGATGTTTGGAAAATACACAGAGAGCGTACCTGAGCTTCCGTCAAGGTCACAAGTGGGATCTCAGGCAGGTTGTTTTATTCTTTTGAGAAAAATAGAAGTGACTGGGTTTGCACACTGGATTGTGAAGAAGTCCAGACAGGAACATATACATATGCAGGATATAAATAGAGAGGGATCTGTGCGGTACATGCCAATCTGCAAACATGCACACAGACAGATGGCCACGCACACACTCATGTAGCCACAGATAACAAACGAATCTGATAAGCTCAACCTCATGGATATCAAGCAGTAAAGAAAACTGGTCCACTGGTCCATGCAAGAGCTGATAGGGACCATGGTGTTCAAATTAGCCTCCTCTCCCCCGTCACACTACACACACACGTACACACATGTGCATGTGCACACACATACACACTCAATACGTGTCACACACATGCACAAATGCATATGCACACAAGTGCTCACACACGCTTCCTCCCCAGTCAGCTCAAGAGCACAGGCAACAGATACTCCCAGGATCAGGTGGCCCTGTCCTCACACCACTTTCCCTCTCCAGCCAAGGCCAGTGGCATCATGCTCTCCTGCCCGCAGGCCAAGGGCTCCGCATACTCACTGGGCACCACAGCAAAGGCCGGCAGGTACTCAGCAGTGAGCAGAGGTGCCGGCAGCTTCCGGATGAACCTTTTGAGCAAATCAGATGCATCATTGTGGTGAACATCATCCCAGCTAAACAGGCCGGCATAGAAGTCTCTCTCCAGCTTCTGTTCCAGCCCCTGAAGGCAGGAGGGGCACTGGTAAGAAGTTGGCCCAAAGTTCCAGTAGAAGTTGCTCTACCATTTCTCTGGGCCTCAGTTTCCCCATCTGCAAATGGCGACAACAATAGGACCTCCCTCATAGGGCTGATATGAGGATTAAGTGGCCTAATGTGTGTAAGTCACCGAGCACAGGGCTCCATCAATAAATGCTGGCAACCTGACTCCAGTGCCCACGCTCTCAAACACCATGCCATTTGGTGCCACCTCCACCCTTCCAAACCCCCCTGGAGTCGCGTGGCCACACAATGATCGAAGGCAGAACAGTGACAAGCCATGAACTGGACTCTCTTCCAACTGATCACACATGTGAGGGTGTGGTGAGATACAGCCTCCATGACGTGGAGTGAGCCAAACGTTACCTTGACCCTGGCCTGGGATCCAGGCACCCTGAGAATGCCTTCTGTATCCAGCCCTCTCTTTTCCAAACAGGACAGCAGCTATCAGAGAAAGAAACCAACATTTAAACCAGCAACCCTTGAAAAGTAGGATTCAAACTGGTGTGTTTTTCTCCCATCAAAACCAGGAAAAGGAGAGTACTAAGAGAAGGGTTTCCTTCAAAATAACAACAGCCTTCCTGACCACTTCCATGAGCCAGGCATTGGACTGAGAGCTTCATGAGCATTTTTCTCATTTAGTCATTAATAAGAGGAGAATACTGTTATCATAACCCCACTTTACAGACATTGAAAGGGAAGCTCTTGGAGGCTCAAAATCCACCCCGGTGCTCTTAGCTAGCAAGTGTCAGAGCCAGAATTTGAACCCAGGTCTTCGTGACTCTAAAGCACATACTCTTACCCTCTGCTTCACATCTCCCAACAACGGCACCCAGAGCCAGCCTCTCAAGGGTAGAATAAGCCCAAGCTGGGGACAACTTACAGCTTGAAAGACCAGTGGGACCTGGGTGCTGGGAAAGACTTTGTGGTCAGTTTCCAGCATGCTGTCGAGGGGCACTCCGAAAATGCGAGTTTCTGCAGGAAGTCAAAAGAGCAGAAGGTGCATTTCACTTCCTGAAATAACAGGGCGCCAACCTGCAAGACCTCCTGGGCAACTAGAATCAGACTCCCTTCCCCGTAGGACTGAGCTCTCTAGAGAATGGCTGAACCCTGACTTCCCCACATCTCTTGAGCAGAACACTGGCCTCAGCAATAATAAAAACATTAGAGAAGTCACAGAGCAGAAAATCTTAGCTGGATGAAGAGGTATTGAAAGAAAAACGTGCTGCTGCCCAAGCGAGCTCTGGTCCAATATGCAAGAACAGCCTAAGATAAGGTGTCTCACTCTTCAGGGATGGGCCCAGTTCCTAAGGAATATATCCCCAGGTCTTCTCAATCTTCCTGGCCTGAGGTTTTTTCGGACAAACTCCTCTTTTCGCATCTTCTCTACAGCTTCCTTCCTTTTTCCTTTAGCAGCACACTCTGACTCTGCTAGACCCCTACCCCTGGTCTTTCTTATCCACCATCCTCTTGTCTTTAAAGAAACAAACAAAAAAAATCATAATGCATAATGTTGACAACAATGCAGTGAAATGAACACTTTCCCACACTATCAAAGGGTAATATGTGTCAAAAACTTAATTCATAAGTATGTCCTAAAATAATCTAAGATGCTTTAAGGTTGTATGTACAGCAATAGCAATTGTGTTTTATAATAGAAAAAACATGGAAATAATAAATGTCCATTAATAGGGAAATAGTTAAATATATTAGGATATATCCATAAGGAGGACAATTGTGCAGTGATTACAAATCATGTTTTTAAAGAATGTTTCATAGTTGCGGTAAATTACACTATTGTTCCAAATTCATTACCCTTCTTGTGCCCACACACTTCCCCATGTAAATTTGCAATTCTTCCCGCTGGAGAAGCAGAGTGTACTGCCCCACCTCTTGCTTTGGGCTTGGCTATATGAATACTTTGGACAAATGGCACAGTAACCCACATGATGGGAGCAGAGTCTTAAAATTTGTAGTATGGTACATTGACCCTCTGTGCTTATGCCGTTGCCAGAAGAACATGCTCCAGGTGGCATTCTGGTCCAAAGAGGATGGGAAACCTGTGACGCAGACCTAGACCCAGCCAACAGCTTGGAGCCAAGCCCAGTCTAGATTAGCCAAGCAACCCCCAGTTCGCCCAAAAACATTATGAGCAAGAGTAAAAAATTATTAAGTCATGAGTTTGGGTATTGTTTGTTATGCAGCATTACTGTGGCAATAGGTGAATGATACACTAACTGGGAAATGTCCATAATGCTATAACATTAAATGAAAAAAGGATATTCATGTACACATACAAATGGAAGATAATTCACTAAAAGTGAACAGTGTTTATACCTGAGTCATATTTTTCCTTTTTGTATTTTACCCTATTTCCCAAATTTCCTACAATGAGCAGAAATTGTTTTCAGATGCAGAAAAAATATATATAACTAGGAGAAATACATATACCTGAGTCATATTTTTCCTTTTTGTATTTTACCCTATTTCCCAAATTTCCTACAATGAGCAGAAATTGTTTTCAGATGCAGAAAAAATATATATAACTAGGAGAAATACATATACCTGAGTCATATTTTTCCTTTTTGTATTTTACCCTATTTCCCAAATTTCCTACAATGAGCAGAAATTGTTTTCAGATGCAGAAAAAATATATATAACTAGGAGAAATACATATACCTGAGTCATATTTTTCCTTTTTGTATTTTACCCTATTTCCCAAATTTCCTACAATGAGCAGAAATTGTTTTCAGATGCAGAAAAAATATATATAACTAGGAGAAATACAGAAGCTAAGCATGTTTTGGTGGGAGGGTCCCTATGCAGCTAGTTCCCTAGATGAGAAAGCCAGGATGTGAGCCACAGGGTTTCTCCTGGGCTGGGACTGCTGACCTGTCACTTTCCACTTCCCCGCCTTGCTCCTCTTCAGGTCCAAGCCAAGGATGTCACAGAGCGCAGTCAGCTCTATGAGGGCCAGAGAAGGGATCTTCTTCATATCCTGCAAGGACAGGTCTCCAATCCTCGTCACACCAAGTCTGCCTTTGGGGATTCTGAATTTCTAGAGAGGGAAGTAGAGACAGTTTCTCAGGCCATGTGTGACATGTATGTGGAGGTTGCACCATCCCTCCCAGGCGTTTAGGCAGGAGGAAGAGCAGAGTGGATAGGGTAAGGGCTCAGGATTCCAGCCTGGATTTGAGTCCAAGCTCCACCTCTTACTGGCTGGTGACATTCTGAGCCTCTGATTCCCCATCTGCAAACATAAAATAGTGCCTACCTTATATGGTCTCTGTGAGAGTAAAATGAGCCTCTGGGTATCAATTGCTAAGCACATAGCGAGACCCCAGTAAATGGAAGTGGTGTTTACTACCTACATTCCAACAAGAGGGCCTGGAGGAGAGGAATCACCCCAGGGGCCACCTAGCACTGCTTCTATTCTTGTCTTTTGCTCCTCTCTCTCACCCCATCTGTCCCTACCCTTGGCCACCCTACCCAGGCTCTAGTGCTCCTCTTCCTCACCCTGAATGACAGATATAAATCGAAAAATAAATGATGCTCGACTGCGCCATCTAGAGGCCACATGGAGGATCTGCAGGCAGCTCCAGGCAGTCCTGTGGCCAGAGGTGAAAACCGGCAAGCAGGAGGGACAGCTTTGTCTGGCATTGCTTGGGGGACTTGACCAGATTATTCCCCAGTGCCCCACCGGAGTGCTCAGAAGGAAAGGAAGCATGCTGTGGTTGTATTCAATAATGTCATGGTGATAATTCAGCCCAGTGTTTGGTGCATGGGCTGTGGAGTCACATTTCCGGATTCAAATCTTATCCTGTGAGTTTAGGCAAATAACTTTACCTGTTTGTGTGTCGATTTCCTTATCTGCAAAATGGGACTAATAACAGTATCTACATCACAGGACTGTTGGGAAGATTAAATTCAATAAAGCATATAAAACACCGTGCCTGACACATCATGAGTTCTTGATAATTACTATTACTCTTTTCTAGTTTGTTTACACAGACAATTGCTACCAACATAACTAAATAAAATTAAATCTTGTGTGTAAAGCACTTGGTATAATGCCTGGACTGCGGTAAAAAATTAATATGTGACATCTTTAGCATTATTAAATATCATCAACATCATAGTTCAATGGGGAAAAAATCATCGAGAAAGAAGACAAGGTAGTGTTGAGCATTAATCATCCCTGCTGCTTTTGGAACAGAACCTCATTATTTAAAGATTTTATTTGATGTATTATAGTTATGTAAGATATTATCACCAGGAGAAACGGTGAAGAGTACATAGGAACTCTACTATTTTTCTTTTGCAACTTCTTGGGAGTCTAACATTTCAAAATAAAAGGTTAAAATTTCGTTTGAATGAATGAAAGTACTTCCACCTGGAATAGAGGTTATTGCAGGGGTGGGGGCAAATCTCCTAAGCAGTAGAGGGTAGTGGTCAGTCGGGAAGGTGCTGGGGTCCCAGTCCTGGCCTCAGTGCCAGATGGCTCTGGCAGATCTCCTTCCAGAGTCTCACTTCCCTTTTTTCTGTCATGAACAGGCGCAGCAACAACAACACTCATCTCCCGGGGCCAGGCAAGCAAACAAGCCAGTGCACGGGGAGCCTCTGGAACACTGCCAGGCCAGCCCTGCGTGGAATGTCACTAGGATTATAAAACCACGTCATCACGTGGCCAATGAAGAAACCCTCCCTTTAGTAACAGTGGAACCTGCGGTAGAGGTCAGAATAGTAGTTACCTGAGCGGGGGGGGGGGGGGGG